TGTGTGTGTGTGTGTGTGTGTGTGTGTGTGTGTGTGTGTGTGTGTGTGTGTGTGTGTGTTCTGCTCTAAATATCGCTTGTTGGCATGTACTCAATGGTTTTTCGAACATTTGCGAAAACCAGAAATTTCCGTGAATGAGCTCGTCTCGTTTCTATGCTTCCTCTCTGACGTCACGGCAGCACAGAAACGTAGTCAGGCTGCTTCGTCGCTAATGTCAATTGTACGCCGTYCTCATCGGGGCACTTCTAGTGGCSTATCTCAAGGCTAAAACCGGGAGCCGATTCTGTTGCATTCGGCTTCATCGACCACGATTCCTGAAAAGCCCTACAGTTTCAAAACATGGCCGGCAACAGAAGCGCATAGAAATGAGGAGAAATCACCGATTATAAAGTCGGCCTACTTCATTTTACCAGGAAGTATTCAGTACCTCGGCTCTAGGATTCATTTTTAAAAATCTACTGATGCATTCAAAAGGAATTCAAAAGGATAAGTGGAGTTTTTATTTAATGAAAAGTAAAGAATTGAATTCTGCAGCTAATACAATCATCTTAAGGAGCTTAAGCTTCTTTGTGATTCATTTACTTCCATGAGAGTCCAGCTCGACGGTGGAGTTGTTCTTCGATGTTCGACAGGTTCCAAAAAACAAAACTCTTCAGTAAAAATATCCCAGCTCTTCACTTTAAAGCTATTAAATTGTAGTCCTCACTTGAGCTCTTCATTATCAATCAACTTCATTTTGAGTGTTTTTTCTTCATGATTTTTTTAATATTAAACATCCTCAATTTGAGCCGAATGTTTGCTTCTAAATAAAAAAGCTAACTTGTGAATAATTTTAAGCAAAATGCGTAAAAAAAGACATATGTGACCGGATGAAAAAATAAAAACCATACCGTGTAATAATCCTCCCAGACACGCATCTAGCCATGCGTATCAGCGTGTTGGTGTTATTAAAAAAGGACAAATGCTGCATTCAGGAAATTAAGTGCCCTGCATGGATACCAGTTTTGCCACAGCATGCCAATGGGCTGCTGTCTGCTCCATGGTCACCACTTGAATCTAAATGAACAGATTTGACTTTCAGGATATTGCCAGGAAGCCTGTCACAGTGCGGACACAGAGGAGGRCCTCTCCAAAAACAGAGGGTTGAACAAAACAGAGCCACCGGCATGGGCATAACCCCAAACCTCAAACAAGGTAACCCCTTAAAGCCACTCTCAGAGCCTGGGAAAACGAGGAGGGGAAAGCTGCCAACAGGCAGTAATCTGTACCGCCATGTTTCRTACAGTAACATGTCAGGAAACACTGACTGCTTTAATTATAGCATTCTTTGCATCTTTAATATTTTCCTGTATTATGTGTCCCTATGTTTCCATCAACCTACATTAAAAGTTTTAGGGAATAAAAACTGCAGTTAAGAGCTCCTGCAGCTCCCCACAACCCTGAGCAGTAAAGCAGGTAGAAATGGATTCTCTAGTATTTCTGACAAATCACTACAAAAAACTGTTTGAAATCATGTTTCTTCCACTCAGCAAAGTGTCTCCTGGTCATCTTGGTGACCTCAGAACGCAGGTTAGTTGTTGCTGTCTACTTTCAGAATGGAAGTTTATACAAAAAGGCAAAAATAGAGGAAACCCAAAGGAATTCACCAACTCCTGATTCTGGAGTTGATCAGTGACGGAAAAGCTGCGTTAAAGTTGACYTTGATGCATTAACTTGAAATAAAGCTACAACCAAACATATATTTTTTTATTTATATCATTTTATCAAATGTTTGGCTTGTAGTTTCAGTAAGTTTCATAATAATATCATGATGGGAGACAAGTTTAAAACTAGTTGTTTACTTGATTATTAAGCACTTTTCCTTTATTTTTCACATAAAATATTCATGTTTTATTGTTCAATATCTACTGACAATACTCCAAAAAAAGGCTCAGCAACTGAACCATTTACGTTTATTTACCTGAAATATTTGCACTGCAATGTGTTATTACCTTAAAATAAAACCAGACTTGTGTAATTTACTTCCAAGGCTCTCAAGCTTTTTTTTTTTACACATTTTTACACACTCAAATAAATTCTGATATTAGTGGAATTTGATTAAAATTTAAACACAAGATATTGGAACTGATTCACTTAAAGTTCACGTCAGCAAAAACAACTAGAGCAAAAAAAATTTAAATGAAGTGTTTTTGTTTTAAAGGAGAAGAATCATCTCCAATTGTGTCAAAATAAGCCTCTGAGGCTGTCAGTTGTTTGCTTTTCACTGGTCTTAAAACATACTTTTAGTATTAATTATTATTTAAAGGCCATGAACGCTTGCCGAGAACTGCTCCTAAATTAGAGTTTAGGTTAGTTTCTTCAAAAGGCCTGCAGGAGTTTAATCTCGTCATCAGACCACAGTCCAGAATAAATCAGATCAGTTAAAATGCCTCAACGTTTCTCTGTCATCAGCTCTGCTCAGGACACAGATCACGGATAACACTCAGAATACTGCGCACAGTTGGGACGTTTYGTATGATTCATCCCTTTTTAGACGCCCATAATTAAAAGCAGCACTTTTTTTATTTTGGCTATAAGTCTTGCACTGGGAACGGGAAAGTCCAATAAATAATAAGCTTAGATGCAATGCAGTTTCCTGTCAGACAAAAAAGCAGCACTTGTAGGTGTGTCTATTAATCAAAGTTTCTGGGGAAACAAACATAAATTACTCCAGTTAGCAGAAGTGGTTCACTTAGTAGAAAAGTTTTAAAATATGTATAATAAGGTCAAGCATTTATTTTCCTACTTTAATATTTCAAATTTGCTGGGCACTGCAGATACCTACTTACTTATCCATCTACCTAYCCACTGTGTTGCATTAAATGACAAAAAAAGAGCATTTTTTTACAAATAAAAATTATCCTGATCATTTGTCCTCAAAAGCAGTATTTGTATCAACCCATCTGCTGTTGATCTTTCTGAAAAAATAAAGAAAATTCAGAAATAAATCAGTAGTTACAAGTGAACGCCTTAAATAAAGTAAATCGTATGTGTTTACTAGATATACATGTGGCCAAAAGCACAACACAGATGATAAACTATGTTGCATTCACTCCTGTATTTCACCAAAATCAGCAGAATAACGATGTAAATAAAACAAGAAAAACAACTACAAAGCAGAATGATGCACTATAAAAGGCGCCAGACAGCAGCTGTACTAAATAATCGACATTGTTCTTCACATCTTTGTTTAATGATGATTTGATCTGTTTTTATCAGTCCCTCTTTTCCATCGAACCCATCTTCTCCTTGCCCTTTACTGTTCCCTCCTCTGGCTTCCTCCCATCAAATATTCTGCTCACGCACAACTGCGGCACCCTTTCTCCAGTCCTCCCCATTAATCCACACCACAGACATCTTGGCCCACCGTCTCGTCTCCCTGTGCACGCACAAGTCCTCCAGTCTGGGGCTGCTTCAGCACAGAGACGGAGCCAGAGCCTCTCTCTTGAGGCCACTATAGGCCCCAAGTGCTGAGCATCCACTGTACAG